GTGACATGGGGTTCAAGTACGGAGTTTAAATTCCAGAATGGAGGATCATGCGCCTCAAAAGCTTCATGCTTCGAGAATAATTTTTTTTAAAACATGGGTCACCTTATAGTGAAGTTGATTTTAAAAAAATATTGAGACTCCACTCTCTTAAAAAAATGAACTTAGCCTCCACTCATTAAAAAAAAACTTAAGCCCTTTTTTTTGTTTCAAAATTCAATTTCTAAGGTGTTAGGATGTCAATTCAAAATGAGTTTAGAAATCGTAGGCTTATTCTTTGTTTCAAAATTTTATTCTCAAGGTGCCATGTGGTTTAAGTACGGAGGTCAAATTCCAAAATGGATGACCATGCACCTCGAAAGCTTCATGCTTCGAGAATAATTTTTTTAGGCATGAGCTATGATATAGAAAATAAATTTTAGAAATCCCTAAGGTCTTGCTCCTTAATGCAAAATAGACGAACATTACTTTACATGAAAATAAGTTCAGAAACCCTTAGGCTTCTCCTCCGTTTCAAAAGTTTATTCTCAAGGTGCCATAGGGTTCAAGTATGGAGTTCAATTCCAGAACAGAGGACCACACACCTCAAAAACTTCATGCTTCGAGAATAAATTTTTTGAAGCATATGCCATGATGCAGAAAATAAATTTTAGAAATCCCTAACACCTCGCTCCTTAATGTAAAATAGATGAACATAACCTTAATTCATAAAATAAGTTCAGAAACCCTTAGACTTCTCCTTTGTTTCAAAAGTTTATTCTCAATGTGCCATGGGGTTCAAGTATAGAATTCAACTCCAGAACGGAGGACCATGCACCTCGAAAGCTTTATGCTTCGAGAATAATTTTTTTGAGGCATGAGTCATGATGCAGAAAATAAATTTTGGAAACCCCTAACTCCAGAATGGAGGACCATGCACCTCAAAAGCTTCATGCTTCAAGAATAAAATTTTTGAGGCATAGGCCATGATGCAGAAAATAAATTTTAGAAATCCCTAAGGCCTTGCTCTTTAATCCAAAATAGATTAAAAAAACTTAGGCTTAATAAAAGAAGTATAGCAACCCGTAAGACATCTAAACTTATTTGAAGATTTTTATTCTCATCATCCTTGTTGTTTTAAATCTTCTCATACTTAATTTGTTTTTTTAATATTCAGCTATCAATTATACTTTTATTTAATGTATCAATTTTTTTAGATGTCTTATTTAACTAGTGTTTCTGTTAGGGGTAACCAACTAGTTGAAGAATCCAAGTCCCATAAATCTTTGGTTATTGATGATTCCCCTATGACTTCTCATTTTTATGAAGATGGACCCATTGATTTAAAGTTAGAAAGACATGCTCCAATGACATGCGCCTCTTCGACCATTATGAATTATCAGAAAGCACATGAGTTACCCAAATATCTTAACAACTCAACTTGGCCTATAGTTGCACATTTTGATGGGGACAGTTTATAAAAATCATTCATACTGCCTTCGCCTCCACTCTCACTCTCAATCCTTGTACGGAGACTTTTCCATCAGGCTCATTGACATGTTTTGCAACTGAGCTTATTGCTCGAAATAAAGGATGGGGGGTGTAAGGGAAAATAGATCTCTCATGATCGACGGATATAATCACTGGTGCCTATATATTTTGCAAAAATACACTAATGCTTTAGAATGACTTAACATCTACGGTGTTGTACTTTCATCTCTTGGAATTTACCATATTGACTTTCAGCTTCTGCAATCTTTCTTGGAGTGTTGGGATAAAGATCGTAATATATTTGCTACAAAATGGGGAGATCTTTCTATCAGTTTGCTAGATATGGAGAGAATTGGGGGTCTTCCTATTCAGGGACAAGTATATGATGAATATGTGCACGCGAATGAAGAGATTGAAGATCTTGAAGTAAGGCACGGGCAACCCCTCAAAGCGCTGCTGAGTTGCTATCAATATCTTAGAGATATTAGCCCTGTAGACAATGTTTCTTTTGAAATGTGGATGAAATTTTTCTTTCATGGGCAACATCATAGAGTCAAATCTAAAGGACAACATAATAGAAAGTCTTTTGATAGTATTCAAACTTTTGGGAAGAACACACTACTTGCAGCTTTTCTCACGTTATGGTTATGCAAATTTGTAGTTCCCTATGACCTAACCTATATCAGGCCTGATGTGTTCGTTGTAGCTGCAAGAATGACTGATAGTAGAAAACCTTATTCCTGGCTGTTCCGACGCTCTGCACTCTTTATCGAGAAATTAACTATTGGGTTACAGATCACTTGGCAGTGTCATGCAATTGGCCGATTCATTATCTGGTTGGATGGATGTCCCAGTATTTTCCTAATTTGTATGATCGACTACCTGAAGATGAAATTAAAATGCAGTTTCCTTCTTCAAATCATAGATCAGATTCTCCATTATTGCTGCAGATTTCAGGAGTAGAAACTTCAGGGTCCCCTTATTTTGCTAAAGAGGCTAGAAAATTTTTGCATGAAGGAGATGATGAGAAACTTTAGTGGAGACCTTATCCGTTCTCACATTCTTCCAACCCCACTTCCCTTGTGGATACATCGAAGGAAAAAAAATATCGAGCTCTCATTCTTCAATTTTTCTTTCAATCCGCCAAGGCATCCTTCCTCTTAGGATGGGAAAGAGACTCTTTACTGAACCATATAATCCTCATATGTTTGCCCGTCAATTTGGCTATGATCAAGGAGTTCCTAATTCTGGTTTGTCATGCACACGTATTGAACCATCCTTACACATTATGTACTGCTACTGGAGATTCTTTTTTGATTAGGGACTAGCAAGCATGTCATCATTCCTTCTGATGGTCGAATGGGGAAAACTCTTCATGGTTATGTTATTTGGTATCAAAAGGGATATCATAACTTCTTTGCTGAAACAGTAAAGAAGTTATGTAGTCTTTGCTTTGAGCAAGATGAGGTATAATTAAATTCCAAATTAATGCCTGATATATGCCAAACCTCAATCATAATTTTTTTACGGTCATCATCATCATCATTTTGAGTTGGCCTTAGATAAAAGAGGTCAGTTGGGCAGTCTCACGTGATCTCTTTCTCACTCTTTCTCTTCACAGATCTCTCTCTCTCTCTCTCTCTCTCTCTCTCTCTCTCTCTCTCTCTCTCT